AGACCAGGGATGGTCACTCTGCTTTGGCCCTGTGTGTGTGCAGGCTGGAAGAGCTTCTGCATCTGCTTCTTACTGGATTTGAACTTTTCAGAAACTCCTGCAAGGTAAGGATTATTCTCTACAACAAACTATCATTTGCTGTGTAGTTTAAGTTTACCTGTTGTAGCATCTCTGCTGGTTAGATGTACTGCAATGCTGTTTTTGTCAAGTTAAGCATTGATAGATCTTTACTGACCTGTTTTAAGTAATTTTGGGAGGGAAAGTAGTATTTCTGTTAAAATACATCTCAGATTATCCTTCATTTGTTTCTTTTTGGCTGGCTGTAGAGAATTAACATGTGCATGAAAAACTTTGTGAAAATAATCTAGGATTTTAATAATAATATGACTTTTTATATCCACATTTCATGAAGCCGGACTGAGTCAGAGATCAATTTATTTCTTTAAATTCACATGGCAACCCACAAGGACGTTGGGATAGTTATTTCATATTACTGTCTTGCTGGAGGTGTGAGGCTTGCCTGAATAGTTTGGAGCAAAAATAAACACCTTACGAGCTTAAGTGAGGTCTTGGTCATTTTTTTGTTTAGCCTGAGTTGTAAACTGTTGTTGTTCCCTTTCCAGGTGCTCCTACCTTTCAACGAATCAGTGTTATTACTCAGGGACAAAGGACTATTAATTGTAGGTCTGCTGCCTCTGCATTGGTTGAATTTGTGTAAGGAATTGAGGTGCAATGGCTCAAACAGTCAACATGAAGGTCCAGGAGCTACCATATCTGCCACCTGAAGTTTGGGTTTTAGTGTTCGGCTACTTGAACACTGAGGAAAAGCACACAGCCCGCCTCTGCTGCAGACACTTCAGAGATCTCATCGACCACCCATTCCTGTGGAAGGATTATACAGCAGGACTCTCCAACTTTCCCCGCTACACATCTGGATTCTGGGACACCGTGCAGTGCCGTGGGGTCAGCCGTGCCACAGTGCAACATTTAGGACCCAGAGATTGGAAAATCCTCAGCAAATCCCTCCCATCGCTCAACACCATTGTCTGTGTGAGGGAACGGCGGTATTACAAGATGAAATACTTAGACAACCTGTGTGAATTCCCCAACTTGACGAGTCTTGGGGTACAAAACGCCACCTGGGTTGAGCCGTTACTGTTGCAGTGTCAGAGTCAGCAACTAGCAGAGCGG